AAAAAAAAAAAAAAAAAAAAAAAATTCTTTTTTACGTTGCTATATTGGTTGGTTCGATTTTTATCAAAACCGAACCAAACCAACTATATCGGTTTGGATTGGTTCGATTTTGTCGGTTTTTTTCTGGTTTTTTGGGTTTTGTTACATATATATTATTTCAATCTTACTTCATTAAAGTTATAAATAAAATTTTGATAAGTGAATATATGTTTAGTAAAAATTGAAAAAAACTGAAAAACATATGATCTATTAAAATATTATTATTAGTAACATATGATAATTATTTTCTTAATCGTCTAACAATAATTTTTCGTTGATTTACGATTTGAAGGTTAATCGAATTTAATAATTAAGCATAAAATCAATATGAAACCTAAATAATGATATGTCCTATTTAATTTTAAAATTATCGATATATCATTTCGAATTCTAAAAAGGTATAAGAACATAACAAATTTTGACATATGAATATGAAAAGGAGATTGACGTATTTCAATAACACTTGATAAGAAAATGATGATACAACTCACTATTTAACGTAAATAAATATGGATGCACTTTATAGTTCTATTAAATGCTACATTCCATGAGAGAATCCCAGATTTCTAGACATTTTCTAAAGAAATTCTATATAAAATCTTAAAAGTATATTTAAAAATTATATATTTATATGTCGGGTTGGTTCGGATTGTTTTACTCAATACCAAACCAAATCAAACTAAACTTAATCGGGTTTTTTAATCGATTTAATTTGACTTTTCGGTTTGGTATGATTTTCCGATTCGGATGGAACACCCCTAAATTTACGAGCAATGAAATTCAAGACTTGTTTAGTCCAAACCGTAGGGTCCAAAGTGGAAAAACCCCCATTAAAAGAGAGATCCTAAGGGTTAGAGGAGAATATACTATAAATATATAATTTAAAAAATTCCCATAAATTTTCCGCCTACTTGAAATGGATAGAGACCATTTTCTATAAACGTAATGAATTTCATATTACGCAGAAAAATTGTCATATTCAATAATGATGTAGGAAAGGGAAATAAATAATACATAATTGTGGCTTGAAAAAGAAATATTGTAATGTTAGTTCGAACATCAAAGCAAAATAACGTAGACATAAGACATTTTAGAACGCCACCAGTTAATTTCATGCCTGCTTGAAATAAGAAATGGAAGAAAGTGCTAACTACCTTCACTTACAGCCATTGCTATCAGCAATTTTTCATAATCAGTAAATGAAAAATTTTACTAGCTTACTATCTTAATAAATGTTGTGACCCTACCTATAGAGACGGATTCAAAATTTTACGTTTATGAGTTCTAGAATTCCAATATATTTTACTTTGTCGGTTCTTGATCAATTAATTATATACATATTAAGTGAATTCTTAGCACAAATACAAAGTTCGGGCTAAAGCGACTAAGTTCTGCGGAACCCGTCACTTCAACAGTAGATCCACCCCTATATATATATATAAGAACCTAATATTTTTTTAACAATTTTATAGTTCAGTGATTGAAGAAAAATGAATACTAAATCTAAAATCAAAATAGGAACAATGATGGTGGGTTCTGTCGAATTAGATTAGATAGACTGATTTTTGGGCATAAACAAATAAAAAAAATGTACAGAAAATTTGCACCATAATTTTGATATGAAGAGACATTAGGACACTAAACTCTTTAACTTCTTTGCAATATTTGTCAATAGGGGTGTACATGGACTGTGTTGGTTCGGTTTTTATCAAAACTAAACCAAATCAACTACATCGGTTTGAATTTGTTCGATTTTGTCGGGTTTTTTGGGGTCTCGGGTTTTTTGTTACATGAATATTATTTCAATCTTACTTTGTTAAAATTATAGATAAAGCTTTGATAAGTGAATATATATTTAATAAATATGGAAAAAAAATTGACAAACATAGAATTAAAAAAAAAATATTCATTTTTGGTTTGGTTTGAACACCCCTCTTTTAAGGTTCATTTTTTGCCGGTCCTTTCTATTCATGATTGAAACAACCAAAATATAAAAACTAAAAGATTCAGAGCAATCCAAATTGCATACGTCCCATCAAAATAAAATAAATTAAAACTCTTCCTTCTTTAACGTGATTATTTTCTTCTATTCAAAATGTAATTATTTATATTTATACATTTTCTTCTTCTTTAATTTCTCACCAATATATCATAATGAAGGACCTAACCATGCAAATATCTAAATGTACAAACCCAAGATTACTGTTTTTTCCTTATTACTATTAGTTTTTGGTCTCTGTAAGGACAAACGGTCAATCAGACTAAAAGGGCAGTCAAGTATTAGAAATTTAGACCTCTTAACGTCAACAATATCAACCCCCCC